AAAGGTATATTAAGGGACAAATATTCCTTTCTGCTTGGTAAATATACGTTTGTTTAGGGGAGGGGGCATTTTTAACAATTATAGTAAAGTTTTCAACATTTTTCAGTGAGAAAGTCTGTAAGTATAAAACTCCTTCTCTTAATCCTAGAAATAAAATCTGTTGTTAAATATACATGTAAGTCAGACCTGACAGGCATCCCCCCCCCCCCTTTGCTAATCAAGGATTTCTCCTGATAATCTTTGTCAACTCTCCTCATGAATTTCATAGGTGAGTAGCGTATCAGAAACCCTTGGCTGGCGAAGATGCAATAAAGTATGCGCAAAATTTTCAATCAACTGTAATGAGCAGTTGCTGAGAAAACTGCAACAAAAATTATTAAGTATGGTACGAACAGACGTACGGATAAACAGGAAGTTGACATCAGAAGTAAACATAAGTGTATCCTACCGTATGACATGCTTTAAAAAGAAGGTACTAAAATGTTAAGCATCTGCAAAGAGTAGTTGCTGAGAAAACTTCGACAAATAACGGACAGACGCACAAATAGAAAAGATCAAATTTAAAGTATTTGCGATGAGTAGTTGCCGAGAAAACTGCGACCAAAAATTTGTGACGGACAGACACACTAGGGTAAAACAAACCGTCAAGTGGTGGCGTCTCTATATGAGTGAAAAATTCTCGAGAGGGTCGTTAAACAATAATTATACAATCAATTAATTAATCTTTGCTACCCCAGCAGTGTTTGTCGTGTAATTTTAAACTTATAAGACAGCCATGCATATCTCGTGCGCATCTCCCTGTGTCTGCAGCTAAGGAGGCCAAATACTAGTATATATGCATGCAAATCTCGTGCAGGTGCCTTTGTGCTTGACGTCAGTGAGCGAGAACTATTGAAATTGGCATGGGAGGCCTCGTTTAATTTAAATGTATGTCTATATTTTTAAAGTCTAAATCTACAATTTTATTTCTGAAAGTATAAAAATGGAAATATAAGGAATCACTGTCTAGTAATTAGTATTTCAGGGACATCAACGATAGTGGAAAATATGGGTTAATTTATGTTTCCCACTATCGTTGATGCCTCGGCATATTATACTAACTAAACAGCGATTCCTTAATTATCCACCTGTGTTCTTTTTCGTCTTTTTTTAAAATCAATTTTTAGAAGTACATGTTATTTATGCATGGTGCAGAATGAGTTAAAATACTTCCTGTGGTTTAATTATTGGACAATAAGAATTCTTGTCTAATAAGAAAACATTTTAAGAAAAAACAACACATATTGTTATATACACAGTAGTAAAAATAAGTCAGTTGCGGCGTAGATTAATTTTTTCATACCCTTGACTAGAAACATATTATATACTCACATAATGTATGATTATGGGAAATAATATTTATTTATAATTACTGGCTGTCCACTTTTTTCATGGGTTTTGGCTTTTATCTCGTCAAGTTGACCACATCACATAATTCCGGTCAAATAATAACACACATGATGCTCGACAAGTGCTACAACACTGCTTGAACATATTGACTGATTTTCATATCATGTAAAATTAAGTAACATTTTTTTTTAACAAAAGAGAGGGATAAGTAAATAGATATGTAATGTATGAAAGTTCCCAACACCAAAGCTGCTTGGGAGAAGATATTCAAATACACGTAGGGTTAACGTAACTAATTTTTTAGGTTAATCCCTTCTCATATCACAGCCAATCATAACTTAAAACAAAGCAATTCTACTTTTCTTCTTTGTTGTGTTATTTTTTAAGTAAATTCACGAAAAAATCACACTGCAGGAAATAATAATTACAATTAAAATTTAATGTATAATTATATCTAGAGAATATCATAAGAAATACAAACACTTGACAAACGTCATTAATCTACTTTCTCTGATAAAATACAGGAGCGGATTCAGATGTTTCTGAACAGGAAAGGGGGGGGGTATATATAGTTCGAAAAAATTTCATTCCTTCATAGGTAGATATGACGTTTAATTTGGTTTAAATGAGTGGGTTGCACTATGAAAAAAATTCGTAAGTTATATATTTCAGTTGTGCAAATTTCTTATTTTATTTAAATAACTGATACTTTAAAACAATTATACACTAGTATGGGATCTTTTTCTTTTTTTTTTCTTCTAATTTGGTCCAACAACATCTGTTCATTTGTTCACGGAGTCCAGAAAAAAAGGGGGGCTGTATATAGTGGATACCAACATAAATGTACATGTGTTGTATAATCCGTGTATCAGATTCAGAGTTAATTGTATGTTATCTTTTTAAACCACTTTTTTATACCACATTTCCAGCATTTTCGGCCGTATGTTTTTCAGTCCACTTTTTGCGGCATTCATTTTAGATATTTCCGTCAAATTCTTATAACAAATTCTTATAACCCTTGCAGGAAATAAACGAATTTGCCTCAAATTGGCATTAGTAAATCTTATCATAACATGATAGATAATCTAACTGTTGTCATATGTGCGTGAAGGTGCATTACTTTACGTTTTAAAGCGAATGGTACCCCGTTAATTAATATGTGTTTTTACCTCTGGAATTAAACCGAAAGTATATATACAAAATTTACAATTTAAAAAAGATCGGGAGAGTGGTTGCCCAATCCAGTTTTTGAAATGGTCAATTTAAAATATATTTCACCTGTTATGCGCCTTTCTACGGGTACATTTTATTTTGTATTGTGGTATTAACAGACCGGTTCCGTACAGCAGTATCAAATCTTAAGAAATGCCGGAGAGAGAAGAACAGAGAAACAGGTAATATTGAATCCCCCTTCCTGTCTGAACAATCCTCCAGCTTAGTTTTCTCTTTCTCTGAACCCCGAGAGCTCTATGACGTAACAGTAAGGTCTACGTCATTTTTTTGCTGTATCTAAAAGATTTGCACACTAAAAATGCGTCTTTAAACGGCGACGAAGCATATGGGTGGATCCAAAATCTTCAGAAATTTAAGATTGATTTATTGGTTTACCTTTTAGAAGTTCCTGGAAATCTTGTAATCTCAGTTACATAACTATATATCATTTATGAAGAATAGGTTATTTTATTACATTACGTTACTAAAGAAGCCAAATGTCGAACCAAATATTTAAAAAAAAAATCCATGCATTTATATACCAACAATCTACCACCAGGAAAAAGTTTAAAAATTCAACAACAACAAAAACTGTAAAACTGGGAACAAATTAATCAAATTTTAACAAATACAACTTATTCCACTTCATGTACACCTCATTACCTGTTAGATCTACATCACTTTGCGGTACCTGCAATTAATTTTTACAAGGGTATTTTAACTTGAACAATTTAATTTTAAAGATAAGCATGCTGATATTTATTCTCAGCTTTTCATATTTTATAAAAAATGCTTCAGATCAATCGTGTTTTTCCGAGCTCGCCGGAAAGACCCGAGACACTGCGAACATGACGTCATATAATAAGGAAGTGACGCAGAGACGCCACCTTCAGCAGTAATGGACATCGTTTGTTGGAACTTGTCATGTAAATAACGCTTCACAATACGGACTTATGGCTTATTGTAACTTGCTTATCAGGGAATTTACGAACTTTCGCGACAATAGTCAGGATTCTGTACGCCTCGATCGTAATCACTGTGTATTTTCGCGAAGAGAAATCGGTAACTCGCAATGGCCTACCTTGGGCTACAGTCGTTTTATTTTTAAGCTTACATTTGATGAATAATCGCTTCTACGATGTTTCTAACGATTTATTATACAGTTAGCGGTGAGGAATTACGAATTTCAGTGTCCTTTTCTGCCAGCAATGGAACAAAACTTGGATTTACGTTGAGGGTTAGCTTTTCAGTGAAAAGCTAAGGGGGGTTAGCTTTTCAGTGAAAAGCTAAGGGGGGTAGCTTTTCACTGAAAAGCTAACCACACCCCCCTTCTACCGGAAGTAAATCTTAGACTTATATTATGACATTGAAGAACAATAATAAATTTATACACACCAAAAAAAAAGAAATATAGATAGAAACATTGATAAAAAGATAGAAAATATGAAACACAATGAAAGTCATGTGATATAAACATTTTTTCTTCATCTAAGTAATATCACTTACATTTAGGTATAAATGTCACTACCATTTTTATTTTTTAAGTAACTAAGGGGTAATAGGGCACCTTATAATTTATTCACAGGAAAAGGGTGAATTCCCAGAAAAATAATTATTAGTTTAGAATATGCTTCACAGGGATCATGAATATTTCTTTGAACAATGTGCAGATTTCAACTTGAATTTCCTCCGTTTGTACATAATGTCTATTGAACTCACTATGCAAGCGTTTCGCTCCGCTGCAATCGCAATCCGGTTGAAGTAAACCAGTAATTGAGTGTTTAGCAATTTCTTTACTTTTAGATATTTTTCAACACAAATTATCATTGGTTTGGAGGCCTTGGGGATGGGTGACAAAATGCCAAGGTAGTGAATTCGAATGCATACAGTGTTTAAAATTGTATGCTGATCAACATAGCATTCTGTCATTTAATTAAGTGATTTTAAATGAAATGAGCGAATTTTTTATTAGTTTGATAACTATTAGTACATTCTTATTAATTGATCACTTGTGAATAAAAATACTGTTCTAAACAATTTAGATCTGGAAATGTTATGTTCAGATTCTTGATTTCCGTGTTACTGAGACTGGACTGTATACAAGTTAAGCTTAGCATTCAACATGTTACAAATATTTGGCCAAAGATAAATTTGCCCTAAATTTTTCAGAAATGGAAACTGATGTTGCTCAGCAGTGTACAAGAAAGAAAAAGAAAACCCAGGAAGATGGAAGGTAAATAAGAAAATATTAGGAGCTTCTGTGTAGATTTGATTTCTATTTTTCTTGTATTGAAAACTGTGTGGTACTGTATTTCAGTGATCACAACGACACAGTGGCAATGCAACAAGTCAACGAAAGTGAAGCAGTTATTAAGGCTCCCTCCAAAGAACCTTTGCCTATGTTAGCCTATCCTGTATCCCAGTACATACCAACAGAGGTAAGAATATGGAACAGTTGATGACTGGATACCTGAATCTTTTCATAAGTATGGTTTGATAGGAGTAAAAGTTTTAATTGGAGATTTCTTTCACAGGAACTGCTTGAGAAACCTGATTTCAGTGTTACAACTAATCCTGAAATAGAGGAAGCTTGTCCTATGACTTCTACCGTGGATTTTCCAGTTTCCCTAGTTTGCGAGAGTATGCATTAATTTGTTATGTAAATAAAAAGGACAAGTTTTCAAGTTAAGCTTAGCACTGAACATGTTACAAATATTTGGCCAAAGATAAACTTGCCCTAAATTTTTCAGAAATGGAAACTGATGTTGCTCAGCAGTGTACAAGAAAGAAAAAGAAAACCCTGGAAGGTGGAAGGTAAATAAGAAAATATTAGGAGCTTCTGTGTAGATTTGATTTCTATTTTTCTTGTATTGAAAACTGTGTGGTACTGTATTTCAGTGATCACAACGACACAGTGGCAATGCAAGAAGTCAACGAAAGTGAAGCAGTTATTAAGGCTCCCTCCAAAGAACCTTTGCCTATGTTAGCCTATCCTGTATCTCAGTACATACCAACAGAGGTAAGAATATGGAACAGTTGATGACTGGATACCTGATTCTTTTCATAAGTATGGTTTGATAGGAGTAAAAGTTTTAATTGGAGATTTCTTTCACAGGAACTGCTTGAGAAACCTGATATTAGTGTTACAACTAATCCTGAAATAGAGGAAGCTTGTCCTATGACTTCTACCGTGGATTTTCCAGTTTCCCTAGTTTGCGAGAGTATGCATTTATTTGTTATGTAAATAAAAAGGACAAGTTTTCAAGTTAAGCTTAGCATTGAACATGTTACAAATATTTGGCCAAAGATAAACTTGCCCTAAATTTTTCAGAAATGGAAACTGATGTTGCTCAGCAGTGTACAAGAAAGAAAAAGAAAACCCTGGAAGATGGAAGGTAAATAAGAAAATATTAGGAGCTTCTGTGTAGATTTGATTTCTATTTTTCTTGTATTGAAAACTGTGTGGTACTGTATTTCAGTGATCACAACGACACAGTGGCAATGCAAGAAGTCAACGAAAGTGAAGCAGTTATTAAGGCTCCCTCCAAAGAACCTTTGCCTATGTTAGCCTATCCTGTATCTCAGTACATACCAACAGAGGTAAGAATATGGAACAGTTGATGACTGGATACCTGAATCTTTTCATAAGTATGGTTTGATAGGAGTAAAAGTTTTAATTGGAGATTTCTTTCACAGGAACTGCTTGAGAAACCTGATATTAGTGTTACAACTAATCCTGAAATAGAGGAAGCTTGTCCTATGACTTCTACCGTGGATTTTCCAGTTTCCCTAGTTTGCGAGAGTATGCATTTATTTGTTATGTAAATAAAAAGGACAAGTTTTCAAGTTAAGCTTAGCATTGAACATGTTACAAATATTTGGCCAAAGATAAACTTGCCCTAAATTTTTCAGAAATGGAAACTGATGTTGCTCAGCAGTGTACAAGAAAGAAAAAGAAAACCCTGGAAGATGGAAGGTAAATAAGAAAATATTAGGAGCTTCTGTGTAGATTTGATTTCTATTTTTCTTGTATTGAAAACTGTGTGGTACTGTATTTCAGTGATCACAACGACACAGTGGCAATGCAAGAAGTCAACGAAAGTGAAGCAGTTATTAAGGCTCCCTCCAAAGAACCTTTGCCTATGTTAGCCTATCCTGTATCTCAGTACATACCAACAGAGGTAAGAATATGGAACAGTTGATGACTGGATACCTGAATCTTTTCATAAGTATGGTTTGATAGGAGTAAAAGTTTTAATTGGAGATTTCTTTCACAGGAACTGCTTGAGAAACCTGATTTCAGTGTTACAACTAATCCTGAAATAGAGGAAGCTTGTCCTATGACTTCTACCGTGGATTTTCCAGTTTCCCTAGTTTGCGAGAGTATGCATTAATTTGTTATGTAAATAAAAAGGACAAGTTTTCAAGTTAAGCTTAGCACTGAACATGTTACAAATATTTGGCCAAAGATAAACTTGCCCTAAATTTTTCAGAAATGGAAACTGATGTTGCTCAGCAGTGTACAAGAAAGAAAAAGAAAACCCTGGAAGGTGGAAGGTAAATAAGAAAATATTAGGAGCTTCTGTGTAGATTTGATTTCTATTTTTCTTGTATTGAAAACTGTGTGGTACTGTATTTCAGTGATCACAACGACACAGTGGCAATGCAACAAGTCAACGAAAGTGAAGCAGTTATTAAGGCTCCCTCCAAAGAACCTTTGCCTATGTTAGCCTATCCTGTATCTCAGTACATACCAACAGAGGTAAGAATATGGTATGCATTTATTTGTTATGTAAATAAAAAGGACAAGTTTTCAAGTTAAGCTTAGCATTGAACATGTTACAAATATTTGGCCAAAGATAAACTTGCCCTAAATTTTTCAGAAAGTAGGAGCTTCTGTGTAGATTTGATTTGATTTTTCTTGTATTGAAAACTGTGTGGTACTCTATTTCAGTGATAAGACACATGGCAATGATAGAAGTAAAAGTGAAGGAGATTTCTTTCACAAGAACCTGCTATGTTAGCCTAACCTGATTTCAGTGTTACAACAGAGGTAAGAAATGGAACAGTTGATGACTGGATACCTGATTCTTTTCATAAGTATGGTTTGATAGGTAAAAGTTTTAATTGATTTCTTTCACAGGAACTGCTTGAGAAACCTGATTTCAGTGTTACAACTAATCCTGAAATAGAGGAAGCTTGTCCTATGACTTCTACCGTGGATTTTCCAGTTTCCCTAGTTTGCGAGAGTATGCATTTATTTGTTATGTAAATAAAAAGGACAAGTTTTGAAGTTAAGCTTAACATTGAACATGTTACAAATATTTGGCCAAAGATAAACTTGCCCTAAATTTTTCAGAAATGGAAACTGATGTTGCTCAGCAGTGTACAAGAAAGAAAAAGAAAACCCAGGAAGATGGAAGGTAAATAAGAAAATATTAGGAGCTTCTATGTAGATTTGATTGCTATTATTCTTGTATTGAAAACTGTGTGGTTCTGTATTTCAGTGATCACAACGACACAGTGGCAATGCAACAAGTCAACGAAAGTGAAGCAGTTATTAAGGCCCCCTCCACAGAACCTTTGCCTATGTTAGCCTATCCTGTATCCCAGTACATACCAACAGAGGTAAGAATTTGGAACAGCTGATGACTGGATACCTGAATCTTTTCATAAGTATGGTTTGATAGGAGTAAAAGTTTTAATTGGAGATTTCTTTCACAGGAACTGTCTGAAGAAGTTCCTTATTATGATTTTGAGTCCTCGGGTGAAGAATGGGTGCCCTCCCCAAAAGGTTAGACTAGTTTACATGCAATTTCCTTCTTCAAAGCACTAAAATAGCATTAATTAAAATTTTTGTTCTTTGTTCTAATCTCTTTAAGCTGTGGAACTTTGTTATATGGTAGGGCCATATAAGGGCAAAGTGGGGTGTTGCAAATGCATAAATGAACATACATCATTATTTCAATGTAGAATATAATTTCTTTATTTTGTTATTTTAGAAAGACAAACACATTGTGTCAGTGACTCAAGCAGTGAAGATGATACAGGCTCTGACATATGGCCACTCTTAACAAAGGTAAAGAGAGTGACTGAATTAAAAACTGATAAATAGTTTAAAAACAATTGAGTGCCAAAAAAAAATTGAAAATTTTGGAAAATAGAAACACTGAGTCTTTATTATTATTATTTATTATTATTATTTCTCTTTTTTTGCAAAATGACATTGAATAGTAAATTTGCATTTTTTAGGTCACCTGAGTAAACTCAGGTGACCTATTGCTATCTGTTTTTGTCCGTCGTCGTCCGTCGTGTGTTAACATTTAACATTTACAGCTTCTTCTCTGCAACCACTGAACCAATTTCAACCAAATTTGGCACAAAGCATCTATGGGTAAAGGGGAACAAAAATTGTGAATTTCATGATCCTTGCCCCCCTGGGGCCTGAGGGGTGGGGCAAAAACCACATAAAAAAATTAATGCAATCTTTCAAAATCTTCTTCTTTACTCCTGGACATCAAGCAGTCAAACCGTTTGCATGATTGTAATTAGCATTGAGTCCTGTACCAAAATTGTGAAATTCATGGCCATGGGGTCAGGGGTTCTAGTGCTAGGGCAGGGCTAAATAAGTATATAGTGAAAATACATGAATTCTTTCAAAATATTCTTCTCTGCTCCTGGGTATTAAATAAACCAACTAAGTACATAGTTATGATGAGCAAGAGTGCCTCTACCAAAATTGTGAATTTTATGGCCCCAGGGTCACTCAGGGGTTATGGTGTTAGGGCAGGACTCTATTGATCAGATAGTGAAAATAAATTTATTCTTTGAAAACCTTTCCTTTGCTCCTGGGTTTTATGCCAATGATCCAAATATATATATTTATGATGAAGAAAGGTGCATCTAGCAAAATGGTTATTTTTATGGCCCCTAGTTGGGGGGGGGGGGGTCATAGTCTGAAAATAAATTAATGCTTTGAAACCTGCTCTTTAGTATTAATCAAACATTCTATGATAAAATTTGCAAGATTTTTAAATATGTGGCCACAGGGTCAATGGTTCCTTTGGGATGAGGTGCACAACTGGCTATAAAGTGGAAGTGCATTTTCTCTTTGTTACTCTGATCTACATCTGGGTATTAGGTAAATAAAGTAAGCATGCTAAGTTTATAATTATGATAAGCAATGGTGCCTCTTTCAAAATTGTGAATTGTGAATTTCATGGCCTCTGGTTTAAAACACAAACCAATTTTAATTGTTTGAAAGTTGTTGCACGATACTCAGGTGACCTATAAGGCCAGTGGGCCTCTTGTGTCTATATATATTTAGCTATTTATAAGAGGGTATATAATAAATTAAATATGTTAAAATGTAATATTATTGAAGTCTCATGGTATTGACCTTTTTTTAATTTTAAAGGACACGTTGGAGAAGGATTCTGAGTTGGATATCCATGGAGAAAAGGAATTTTCGGATAAGATGGTAAATACTTACCCTTTTATCGGTAATATGTATTTGTTTGATATTTAATCTCTAGAATAGCAATGCCAAGATATATTACACAGTACCGAGTCTACCGACCAGACACAACCTAACACCAGAGCGAACACGAAGTGGACCCCTGGTTCAATTCCCAGGTTTGCTCGGGTCCGCTTCTGTGTGCCCACTTTAATCTTGCCGCCAGTATAAGCCCCAACCCTTGTGTATTCCAAAACAGTAATGGAATTGTGGAATTGATCATTGTTTCTAAAGTTCAATTGTACATTTGACGTAGATTTATGATTGATTTCCTTGACTTCTCCACTCTCGGAATTTCATCCTGAGAAATTCCAAGTTATTTAATAGTGGGCTATTAGGCATTTATTTTTATTAGAGGAAGAAAAGGTGTTGAATACATTCGATCTTTTATCCCAATGGATATTTAGATCTATATGCAAATTTGATGGATCGACACGCTGATTGGTTCATAGCTAATCCTGATTGACAGCTCTGTAAAACAATACCAAAGGGGGGTTTGCTTTTTGGGACTGCTACTGAATTTGGGGTTTGCTCTCGTGGTCCGCTTTAGGTTTGCTTTGGGTCCGGTACGGGTGTGCTATGGGTGTGCTCCTGGTTTCCTTGGGATCAAACCTAACGGACCTCGAGTGAACCCAAAGCGGACCTAGAGAGTGAACACGGGGTGCAATCCGGGTTTGTTTACTGTTATTTTGTGTCCGGTCGGTACTGTACTTGTATGGAAGCATCTTCATATGGTGTACATATAAGTTTGTTCCATCCAGTTACCCTTAAGGTAATCTTGGAAAACATCTTTTATTAAATAAAGCCAAAAAAATTAATTTCTTGGTTCTCAGGCCCTCCCTTATCTCTTCCAAGGGGTTTTATTGCTAAATCAATAAAATAAAAACAAATCACCTCCCTCATCATTGTTTTAGGTTTTGTACAATGTAAAAAGCTACCTCAGCATATTTTGGGGGCAATAAAAAGTTTAAAACAAAAATGTCTCCCTCCTTCGTCATGTTTCTTAAAAAAAAAATTTAATACATATGGGGAAAATCTGCCAATGCAGTTACTCAGGTGAGGGTTTGTGCTTTCCATTGAATAGAAATGAATTATGGTATTAATTTAAGTTCAATCTTTTTTAAGGAGGTGACCTCCAAGGTGGAAAGTGTAACCAAAGAAGATGCATGTGTTAATGCAACAGGTATGTGAATATCTTCATTTTTTTTATTCTACAGTGTATATTCAGTGTAGCAAAATGATAATCAAATTACTAAGGTACCACTACGAGGGCTGTTCGGAAATTATTGAGATATGGTATAATTTTCTTTCTAATGAACATCTTACCGTGAAAATTTGCTTATACATTTGACAAACACTAAGGATTAATAAAAGCAAGAAATATTTTACAAATATTAAATGTCTTTTGTTCAATGTAATATATATAGTAGGGGTATCCAGTGCAGTCACGAAAGTGTATGGTTATGATTAGCAATGGTGCCCTTTCAAAATTGTGAATGCCATGATGTCTAGTTTAAAACATAAACCAAATTCAATCGTTGGAAAGTTGTTGCATGATGCTCAGGTGACCTATAAGGCCCATGGGCCTCTTGTTGGTCTTCAGAAAATATCAACCAAAATTTGGGTCATGGTGACCTACTTTCGACATTTTATGGCTAGATTTAAGTATCTCGGGTACTTATTGGCTTAGAATCATCAAATTAAGTAACCAAACTGTAAATGCTTTGTGTAAAGTTATGATGAGCAATGGTGCCTTTTCAAATTGTGATAGTAATCACCTCTGGTATAAAACATGAACCAAATTTAATTGTTGTAAAGTTGTTTTGATGCTCAGGTTAACTTAAAGGCCCATGGGCCTCTAGTATGAATAAAAAAGTTGATACATGCACCGACATGTAAGCTCATGCATGCATATTTATATAAACTTTTTCTATCTTCAAGTTTCAGTTGCACCTGTTGTGAAATCAGGAACAAAGCGAGTATATGACAAAAGACATGCTTGTTACTATTGTGGTGACACTTTCTCCAAGATATCATCTCATCTG